TGGATTGATGGGATAAGGTTAGTGAGCGCCCAAATGTTTGCAAACTCCAGCGTAAACTAGCTTTGGAGTCTCCTTCAGCACAAATAATAGCTGCACATTTGTGCTTTACTGTACACTAAGGCATACGTTAATCTGCAGTAAGGAAACAGATCCATGCTTTGACTACAGCAGCTTCACCTACAAAATTCAGTCATATTTAACAGAAGAAAACCAAGTTCGCTACCACAGCCAGCCTGTCCTCTATTAGGACATGTTTAATTATGTCTTGCTTCCTCTGCACAGGAGGATACATGAGCAGGGAAGAGAACGTCGTGCTGTTGCTCCTGAGCAGCTGATGAGCAGTTTGCACAGAAGTGAGTACGTGTCCCTGTTGGAAATTAATTGGAGAAGGGAGACATAGAGTGCTCTGCTTTGAACCAGCAGCAAGTCTGACTTGCAAAACCTGCTCCGCTAGAGACTAGACAGCTTACCTGGTCCTGAAACCTTTATACCTAAAAGTCTACCACAACCTTAGACAAGCAGTGAAGTTTCTGCTGTGTGAGACGCTCTGCTTCTGGAGCCTTGAGAGCACAGCAAGGCAACTGACTATGAGAGGGTGCATTGCCTGCTCTTTGTGCTGACTGCGAGAAATCACATTACTCGATGATTTTACCCGGCCATGTGAGCTGAGCCAGCATTTGCCTTAATGTGTCGTTTCATCTCTCCTCCCATTTGCTGCCAGTGTTGCTGCGTTGTGACCATCCGGTGTCAGTGTGGCTGCCTGGGAGCTCCTGGCAGGTAGGCTTGCATTTTCTTCTCTTTGAATAGCCAGGTGATTGCCAGCTGCGAAGTGCTGGAATGGCAGGGACTGCTTGGAACAGGAGATAAAAGGAGGGTGGAGGAGAAGAGATAGGAATAAACTTTACCCACTTCTGCGCTCAGGCTCTGCCTTCTCTTTCCCTCTGTCACAGAATGCAGAAATACCTTCCAGCTCAGGCAGGGCATATGAGCAAAGGCACGTGTCAGAGAAGATTGCTGCCAGGCAGGGCTACTACAAGGGGAGAGTTTTGGGGTGACCATGCACATTGCACAACTCAGAGCAATGCGAGGCCAAAGAAGTTTCATCTTGGTGGTAGAAGATATGAGGGATATGGATATCCTTTACTTGGGCATAAAACAGAGGGCTGTGGCTACCTGCATTTCCTAACCAGAAAAAGCACACTGAGGAGAAACTGTTTGCACACAACAGCCTCACTGTGATTTTCACAACGGTGTCAATTCAAACTGACAGCTCTGCATGAGAGGGTCATGAAAAAGAATGTCATGATACAGATGGTTTTGTCCTAACAATGGAACAGAACATGCCAAGTGACTCCAAAAAGACATGAAATGCTTAATGTTTGTCACTACTGACCGAGGCCAACGGGAGCTCAAAACCAAAGTGCAAAGCCTGTGCATCTTGTTTTTTAATTAGCTAACAAATTAGCCAAAGGTAATTACCTATATTTAGTTGAGAGGCGTTCCTGCGCACAACAGGGAGGTTCGATTAAAATGATCTCTAAGGTCCCTTCCAGCCTAGGCCATTTTATGATTCTATGATTCTATGGTTCTATGATTCTACAATTTATTAAGGCCAAGAGTAGTTTACTAACTTTATTCCTAAGATAATACATTTGTTGTCTGGAAAAGTCTCTTCCCATTCATCCACAGGGAAGCCATTTCTAATCCTACCAAACTAATCCTACCAGGGAATGTTCTTCCACTACAGGACCCTCACCAAAAGCTCCTCTGAAGCTAAAATGAGAATTACTACAATTCAGGTCCAAGGCACAATAGAAAGGAGTGGGACTGCATACATGCAGATTATCCCGGTGGAAAACCAAGCTCTCAAAACCTTTTTTTATTCGCAGTTTTTAAACTAGTTGTACTTTGTGCTGATCTTCATGAAGTAAGATCCATGCCTTGGATTATAGGCAGAAATCAGTCAGCACAGTTTTCCTTCTACCAGCAGACCTCTTTTACACAGCCTCTGTAGAACAGCATGGTAAACTTGATCTTCTGTTATCTTTTTGTCCGATAACTCTGGTTTTGTACCCCAAATATGATGAGATTCAATACAATCTACAACAGGAGAAGCCACACGCATCATGAGGTCTCTTGCCACCTTGCTGCTTTTGCACTGATATTTGCCACAGCACGGTTCAGATTTATATCTAGATTTGTCTGCTCCTTGCATCTGAACTTCAGATGAGTCTGTAAAATCGACATCTTACCAATAGCTGAACAAAGGAGTTTTTCCATTTTTTCCATTGAGGTGTCTCATGTAACTTGTACACTCTCTTTCTTTCTTTCACTGCTCTTTTTTTTTGTTTGTTTTGTGCATGTGTGATTTCTGCCTATAATCCAAGGCATGGATCTTACTTCATGAAGATCAGCACAAAGTAGAACTAGTTAAAAAACTACAAATAAAAAAAGGTTTTGAGAGCTTGATTTTCCACAGGGATAATCTGCATGTATGTTTTCAGTTTTTAAATACTAACTGTGACAAAGAATCAGGGCACCAGGATTAAGAAGTAGCACCAAGCATGCAGCCTTTTTTCCCCCAAAGGTTAGTAGTATCAAAGGGTTATGGTTAGTCTGGATTGCTGCAAGGGTGTTGCAGCAATATCTGTGCAAGGAAAAAAAAAAACAACAAAACTCATGAAGGAAAAGATAAATCTTAAACTCTTACAACGAGCAGCCCTATCTCTTGTTTTCTGCATGTAGCTTGCCTGTTTGCCACAAACCATACTAGCAACGCAAACTTCCATACCAAAGAGAAAGCAATCTCCTTAATATATATGTGTGTACATCTTTTATGTATGTATTTTAAGTTCTAAAAAGTCTTCCCAGTTATTTAGCAGGTTGCACAGTGCCTAAAATAGTTTTAAAAGCATCTGAGCAGAGAGTTTCAAAGGCGTCTAAATGCCTTGGAGGATCTAAGGCTTTGGTAATCTGGAAAAGCTCTTTGTGCTCTCTACCCCCAGCTTAGATTCCCCCTGGATATCCTGACTCCTGCAGGAACGGTCTTCCTCCTTCTGTGTTTTACTAACTCTAGCTGGATGGAGGTCTCACGTTAAGACCATGGCACAGGGGAAGAAATGGTCTTGCAGCCAGCTGGCCCAGTGAGCAGGAGGGAAGATGTTGAACTCAGTGGTCTGTGGAGTGCTCAGAGGAGAGCAAAAGGCTGCCGGCCTGTTGTCATGACGTGCGGTCATGGCAGGGTGCATTACCGCGGTGTCAGGCGGGTGAGTGTTTTTCACTCCTGGACGTAATCCAATTAGGAAGGAGCAGTGGTTTGAAGCACTCCGGGCAGGTCTGGTCTCCCTAGGACTAAGCTGGGACATGTTGTCCCCTCATGGGGTTGTTTGCTGTGCGTTTCCTTGCTATAATTGGAGTGGTCTCAGCTCAGCACCTCCTCACCTCTCTGAATCCTCCTTTAACAAGCTGTACTGTTGGGCTGTAGCAGTATTTTCCAGAAGACTCCTCAGCAGCATCAGGTGAGTCTCTGTAACTCCCTGAGACTTTGCACACCTCCATTCCAGCCCCTCAGCTCCACTGGAGCTGTCCTCCTTCTGAAGGCACTGGTGTCCTTGAAGAAGGCTGCACGGCATCTCCAGCATGGCCACAGCTATTCTTACCTACCTCTGCTGGCTCCCCGGTGAGGAGCGGCTCTGCTGCTTGCCGTCACTGGGTAAGCTTGACTGCCAGGTCTGTCTTGCAGCGGTGCCCCTCCTGGGGGACATTCTGGCCACAAGCCCTTACAAAGCTTCTCTGGTGCTCCTCTCTTTGTTACAGCTTGTGACTGTACCTGACGGGTTGAAGCCACTGCCTGCAGCCTTCAATCTGTTCAGTCAGAGAATCCTGGAGACTGGGAGGGACCCGCCAGTGCCTGAGGTGACTTGTCTGCGTGAGTTGGAAGGTAGGCGATGGTATTTTTGCTTCTGCAGCGTGCTGCACTGCCCAATCAAAACATTTGTTGGCATAATCTCAGATCATCTCATATTGCCTCAGCATTACTTCTCACTGGAGCAAAAGGACACGATGTTTTCTATGCCCCAAACGCACTGTCTCGCGGCAGGAGATCCACATGAACAGACTCGCAGTTGGGAGAGAGTTACCAAGTATTTCACTTTAGTCAGAGCCACGCCCCAAGCTCTCATTGCATAAGCATGTTGTTAACACCAAATGCATGCACGGCTCTTAGAGGTAAGAGTGTCTCATCAGAAAGCCTAAGGTTAGCTTGAGTAGTTTAAATAGCAGGTTTCACTAACCCAGTTCCTTGTGATGGATGTAAGCCTGGAGCTCGTCACAACTCACCCATCACACTCAGTAGATTTGGCAGATTTCAAACATACAAATGAAGAAAACATTGCTGCAAAAACCTGATGGCTCTGACATGAATCTACAAAGAGGCAAAAAGATTTCTGCTTCTTATATGTGTGCGTTGGTGGCCTTACATGGCAGCACAGTGTGCTGAACGTACCCTTCAAAGTTCTGAAGCAGTGATGACCGATAGAGTGGTTCCAAAAAAAGTTCCTGTAAGTGAAAAAATAGAATTATACCAGAAGTAAATACAAGGTTTTTCTGTCACAGAGTGCATACCTCTATATGATACATACAGGTAGAGTGGGGAGGGAGCAGTTAAAAACATACCCATAAACTGAATTCAGGGACACTGTGAAATCTGTAGCGCTGGCTGTTCATTGTCAAGCCAGTAATTATGCAACACGTCTGTTTAATATTCAGGGTGCTGTGGAGGAGCTTCCATCTGCAAGTTGTTCGCTATTTATGCTGCTTCCTCATCAGCGATGACATTGAAACTGTTAATATTGAAAGTAAGGACAGCAGCTGCATACTATGCATCAGACAGACGCATGCGTTCTCCAGTGAACAGCAAGCACAGCCAGCAAAACAAGCTGTTTGTGGTGTCTGAACTGACCTCTTTGCAGTATTTCAACTGAGACTTTTTTTGAGCAGCAATGACTACACTCAGATACTGCTTCTTTGCTGTCCTGATTCTCAGTGTTTTGCTTCCATTTGCTTTCTATGGTGTTAATCTGCATGCACAAAAGTCTGTCAGGAGGCTGAACTTCTCGGTGAGTTCAACTTTAGCAGAAGCCTGTAAAGCACTTGTTGAAGATAAGGCACCCTTTCTGAAGGAAAACACTTTAAAAACGTCATTCGGAGAATCCAGTTGCACAGAGTACATCACGCAGAACCGCTACATCACCCGTGCCCTCTCGGCCGAGGAGGCTGCCTTCCCCATTGCCTACGTGATGACCCTGCACAAGGAGTTCGAGACCTTCGAGCGGCTCTTCAGGGCAGTGTACATGCCCCAAAACATCTACTGCGTCCACGTGGATGCCAAGGCGCCGGCCTCCTTCCATCGAGCGGTTCGGCGACTGCTGGGCTGCTTCCCCAACGCCTTCCTCGCCTTGCGGGCGGAGCGGGTGGTCTATGGTGGGGCCTCCCGCCTGCGGGCTGACCTCCACTGCATGAGGGACTTGCTGGCCTCGGCTGTGCCCTGGCGCTACCTGCTCAACACCTGCGGCCAGGACTTCCCCTTGAAGACCAACCGGGAGATCGTGCGGCTGCTGAAGAGCCTCGGTGGGAAGAACATCACCCCCGGGGTGCTGCCGCCGCCCCACGTCACTGCACGCACCAAGTACGTGCACAGGGAGCAATTATACTCTTTGTTTTCTTTCATGCTGGGGACGTTCATGCCCAAGGCCCCCCCGCCCCACAACCTGACCCTCTACTTTGGCTCCGCGTACGTAGCCGTCACCCGGCCCTTTGTGGAGTTCGTGCTGCAGGACCAGCGCGCCACCGATCTGCTGGCCTGGTCTGAGGACACCTACAGCCCCGACGAGCACTTCTGGGTGACACTCAACAGGATCCCAGGTGAGTACACCTTCACTTTTGCTTTCTGTAGATACACTCCTGACTCCCTAGAGCTTCACAGTAGGGATATGAGGAATGGAAGCCATGACAAATTGCTTCTGTCTTCTTCTTGCTTTCCACGCCCTCCCTACTGCTTACCTGTGGGAAATTAAAACAGGGAACAGCAACAACTGTGGGTTAATTTTGCAAGGCCAGTCTGCCTTTCTGCCTTCAGATTTTCACATAACTCTGTATTTGAATAGTGCTTGCTCTTCTCATAACTATATTTTACAACTGCCATGCACACGATGCAGAAGGGATTACTGATCGAGGTATTTACAGTATAATCATCAGCATATAGTACTTACAGCTAGCTGATTTTTCCACGAAGCTGGTTGCTGTGATCTTCTTGTACTCCATTGCCTCAGAAGCAGCAAATCTGGGAGCAGTTATGCTCTCCACAGTCAGAAAGTTTTAGGTGGTTGCCATTTGTTGCACTGCAGTGTGTAGCTTACACAGGCAGTGTATTTAATTGTTTATTCTAATGATCATCATCATTTGCTTTCCAGCATTGCACATTGGATCATTTTTTGCACTTGTTCTGTTTGACACAGAAAGATGTAACATTCCCAGAGCAAGTACTTTTCCTTCCTCTTCCATGTTTTCCTTGCCGTCCCTGCCTGGGCAAAAGTGCCCGTACAGCTCTGGCAGATGTACTCAGGACCTGCTGCTATCCAGGATTTTGAATCCAAACTTGCAAGCATAGCACAAGGTGTCAGTCAGTCACCTGAATGTATCCAAAATAGATCCACAGCTCTGAGCAACTCTGGGGTGAGAAGTCATCCCTCTCAGTGCGTGGAGTGTTAGCCTGGGAATCAGTTCTCAGCTCTAACAAAAATCCTCTTGTCTAAGTTTGACCAAGCTACTTTTTTTTTAGCTTATCAGAGGGAGATAGTGGTATCAGGCAGTGCTCAAGCTGTTAAAACAAATAGTTGGAGGCCTCCAGGCAAGCAGAGAGATCATTCAAGGACCAGCATGTGGATGGACAGCATATCATCAAAGAACTAAAGCAAACAGGTATTTGTAGTTTCAGACAGCCATGCTAATCTCAGTTCAGTTAAAGATAAAAAAGGACTAACTGGTCTCTAAATTTTAAGACAGCATGCTTATTACACAGAGTCATGCAACAAAGACCAAGATTTTTTTTCAGCCCCCTAAAGGCTAATACCTTTCAATTCCCATTTGGCTGGTTTTCAAATAACAGTTTTAATTTATCTTCTGTATTTATCTCAGACCACTTATCTCCCACATGACTCCTATGTAACAGAAAATTCTAGAAAGTCACTTTTCAGATAAGGAAGAGAAGCATGGAGAAATTAAGGGAAAGTATTTGCAAAGTGTGTAGTCCTGAAGTGACTGGTCTCGAATAATTTCCCCTGGGTCTCACAAAAAGCACACACCACCACAGAGCAGGTCGTTGGCCACATCCCCAGGCACCAGCATAACCACTGGGACACCTTTCGCCCCTCTGCTCAGAGAGCAGAAAGTTGGCTCTGGTTGCCGTGGGAGAGGTGTGCATCCACAGCCCGTGCTACTGAGTCCTTCAGGGTAACTTTACTAAACCCTGTTCCAAAGTCCTGTCCCTACTTTCAGGCAATACGATCACAGCGTATGCACGACTTGGGATACAAGCTTTTGGGGCAGGATTATTCATAGCAGGGTGCTGTTCCCCCAGGGTTCACCGTGTGACTACATAGAAATTGTTTCAGCACAACAGAGCCATGAACAAGAGCAGCAAGAAATTCAGGAATCTGTTTCGACAGGAGCAGTTGAGGAATCGCTGCCACCATCCGAAAGGCCCCACGTTGCTGCACAGAGCGAGCACAGCGCTCTGGATGCAGGCTTTGCACAGATACATTTGCTTTGCTGATCGTGGTTATGCAATTAACGTTTTAAGTGGGAGAAGTGTGCTTCTGAATTGCTTTCCATCCAGCTGTTCCTTTCCTGTGGCACACTAAGTACAGCTGTGGTGCCTCGATATTCTTCCCTTGCTCTCCTTCTCTTGCCATTTCCCCGATGCTGAACTTCACCTGTTTTTTCAGCCTTCACCTTTCCTCTTGCTTTCCTGCCCAGGTGGTAAGTGCAAAAGATTGCAAATTATGGCACTCATACAGGATCCTTATTCCTGGACATCACAAAAGAAAACCCCTGCATGAGAGCATTCACACCCAGACACATTGCTTTTTCCACCTCACCCCAAGTCCAGCATCAATAACCTCATCCCAGTACCCATGTCTCCAACTCAGATGCACATATGGCAGGAAAGTGTGGGAACATATGAGGGGAATAATTTGTTTGGGGCATTGGTCTCAGTTTTGCAGAGATGCAATGAGTGTTGCCAGCCTCAATGTAAGACCTTTTAAATCCTTAGCAATCCCCTCAGGCTATGAAGTGCAAGAGAAAGCTTGCATGTAACAACTGGCTTTTATAGAAATCACCCACTTATTCTCTGCCCCGGATGAGTGCCCAGTTGTGTTCTGGCAACCAAGCAAGGTTGCAAATGCATCCTATGATGCTAGAGCAGCCTTTCTAAGCTTCCATGAAAATACTCTAAAAACATTGCTTTCTCTCCCCCCAAATTCTGATGATGTAGCAATGGTGCCACGCTTTTGTTTTCTGTCGCTGCAGAGAGCATAAGCAACTGCATCGGGGTGGTTTGCTCTTACATGCAGTGCAAGGAGGTTATTGGCCACAGTAACACACCTCTCCTCCCTGCTCTTGCTCTGGCTGGCACAAAATTCACCCAGTCACCCACAGACAGCCTGGTCCCACCTCTGAGACGTGCCTTGGTCATGCACATCCCTCCAGGGAGACCATGAGTGGTGCTTGGCAGTCACTTGGTGTAAGGGAAGCTGGAGGTTTGCCTGGGCAGAACCGCTTTCATTCCTGGTTTCTGTAAGAAGCCCGCAGAGAGGAGGTGGGAAGGAAGCACCACGTCATTTTGCTCTTGTGCCAGTCTAAAAGGGACATCAGGAACACATTGCTGACAGCTGCAAAACTTGACAATTTTTTGCATCAGCGTGGATATGAGGTAGTTGATTCCTGGAGGGGTTAACCCACAGGGTCTGCGCAAGCCCGCAAATCCAGACCACTCCCTGATCTGAGTGGGCACATCAGGAGAACCACAGGGCTTCCAGCGCTTCCAATCCAGCACAGGGATCTGGGCACATCAGCAACCTCAACCCGCTATCTTTGAGCGAGGTTTTTTCTCCCATTGCTGCTAATCTGATACAAAAATTGCGTTCTAGCTCGGGCTTACTCATCCAAGGATTCCTCCAGCTCTGTGCCAACCACAACTTCAAGTGTTTTTGACACAGCGGCATATTTTGTCTGTCACATTCTGTGATTCTGTGAAGTGTAAAGAAGCAGACTCACCTCAGCTCTCTCCAAAGCAGGATGGAGGATGCGCAGGTATTCATTCATTTTGTCAATGATCAGGAAGGCATGGAAATAATGGAGAGTTTTGTTTGTGAGTGGAGTGTTAAATTACTCCCAAATGTTGATAGTATATCTGCACCATCCTGATGGCAACTCCTTGGTTGGGCGCTGAGTGGCAGACAGAAAAACAAGACAGACAGTTGGCAGAGAGTATGTTTCAGGTAACGGCAGGTGTGTGGTGGGTAATGCTGTGAGTCCAAGCTAGTACGCTCTCAAGAGAGATGGGAGTTGTCCTTGTTAAAATCTCACTGCAGTTTATCTGAAGCAGTAGCTTTACACCCACATGAGAGCTGGTGGCCCTCAAGGAACATTTCATTCACTTCCCTTGGATGAATGTGTGAGACACAACAGTAATAGCGGGAAATCCTGAGTAGCATGGTTAGCACATTAATCAGTCGTCTTAGCCAAATCTTTATTTTTAAGCTTTTGTACAGCTGTTTGCTTGTACAAACAGATCTGCGTTTTTTCCAGATGATTTGGCTTGCACTGAGTTTCTCACTACGGCAACTTAATAATTCAAAACCACTTTGGTAACTCTCCATTCCCCTGTTATTTGTAGACAGGCTTTTGGAACAACCTTCTCCACAATGCACACATCATACTAATATGCACCATTGCTGTTCTGTTCTGCCTGTTAAAATTGTTCCTTTTCCTTAGCTTAGTGCCCACCCTTCAGAAGACAGACAGAGACACAGAAGCTTTTAAATATGATTCCAGACAGTGACGCTAGTTGATTAATTCACATTCTAGGAACAACAAAAAAAAGTATTTGGTACTTCTGTCTGCAGCGTTACTCATATAACTAATCCTTGTTCTCTTGTTCACATTCTCCATTATTTTAATGAGACTTCCTGATTGAGCAAGAACTTCTTATAGGAGTAATGCATTAAAAAAATAGGGATTTTCCTGTGACTGTTATGGAGTCTCAAGCCTTCAAAGCTGTTGTAATCTCACCATCAAAATCCATCTCTTTTGAAAAACCTGCTTAAGGGAAGGTGTTGCAACGCAGTCATAAAAACACTTTCTTCATGGCGGGATTTCCTGGAAAATTACTCTTGTCCTCTCTCTGCCATGCAGACATTACAGTTCATTTGAGAAGATACAACTTAAAACAGAGTCTGGTCTCTGTGCAGTCCACAGTCATTGGAATTTAGGTACTGCTTTCAACAGGAGCAATGCTTTGCTTCACAACCAGGTGTTTGCTTCTCACTAAAACACTACTTAGTGATGATAGGATAAGGAAGGGTATGTCTTCAAGAAGCCTTTCTGAAAAGCCACAGTTAATAAATGGACTTGTGTTCCTTTGCTTGACTATCCTTTATCTTTACAACTATCAGACATTGGTCTCACAGGCTTTGAACAGCACAACTCATTGAAGAGCAGAATCAGATGACAGTAATTTAAGGAATCATTTCTTTTCTTTCTAAATTCTGGCATCAGGTAATGTCTATCACGACTCCTGCATGTAACCAGCTAAGCTTCAGCCCAGCTGCAGTAACAGAGACTTTTTCTGATGTTCCCAGGTGCTGAGTTGCCCACAGCCCTTGTTTTTGTTAGGGGTGAACTCCAGTCAGGCCACTCAAACCTCTCCCCTCCTTTCATCTATGAACAAATTCATCTGACCACACCTAAGGCTGCGCTGTGTGTATCGAGAGTCAAATCCTGCTGCCAGCACCTCCCTGGGCAGCCAGGGTGGAAGTTGGCAGAGGAAGACCTCAGAGGTTCTGAGGTCTGCTTTAAAGCTTGACAATCCCGAGTTTACTTTAGTTAACCTCTCACCCCTCCACGCATTTTTGCATTCACATACCCCACTGAAATGAAAATTTATGATGTCAAAATACAAAATTAAGCCTTTGTACATTTTAAAGGAGGGGTAGTGGGGCTTTTTCTCCATTGTTTCAATCTCATCTTGAAAGAAAACCTCTTCTTCTGAGGCCTTCCCCACATCTTCACCAGCCACATCCCTCCCATTGACAGGGAGGAGAACTTGTCTCACAGGACAAACAAGAAAACAGACAAACCAGGATTTCAGAGCAAGACATTCTTGCATGCTGGTTTATAAGCCTGGTGAAACAAATTCTTGTTTCTGTATTTGATCAAGAGGCGACTATTTCCATCCTACCCGCATATTCTCATCAGCTGCTCTCCATCCTCCTAACCCTGACAATTTAACTCTCCCATTTCTTCATATTGCAGTTCTGTAAGATGATAAGAATTAAAAAAACAAAAACAACACAAAACCCCAAACCAAACCTAATTTACCACTGGAGAACCTGGAAGGGATTAAAATTGCCCAGAGAAGTGGTAGAAGCCTCATCCCTGGAAACATTCAAGGCCAGATTGGACTGCACCCTGAGCAATTGATCTACCTGATGTCCCTGCTCACTGCAGGGAAGTTGGACCAGATGACCTTTAAAGGTCCCTTCCAGCCCAAACCGTTCTACGATTCTATGAAAATAGATCGGATGAACATGGGAGTGAAGCCCTGTGTCCATGAGCGGGGCTTCTCATGCAGCTGGCAAGGTGCCAGCACAGTGGCCACCACCAGAAGACAGGGCTGGCCTGTAGGGCCTGAGTCCCCGTGTCCTCAGCACCAACCCCTTTGCTGTGGTTTGACCCCGGCCGGTGGCCAGGTGTCCACATGGTTGTCACTCTATCACCACTCTATCTGCTCTATCACCCTCTACGCCGCTCTATCACCCCCTACGCCGCTCTATCACCCCCCTCCTTGTCTCCTAGACGGGTGGAGAAAATATAATGGAGGGCCCATGGTTTGAGATAAAGACAGGGAGATCACTTGCATCTACCATTCCGGGCAAAACAGATTTGATTTTTGGGAAATTAGTGAAATTTATTAAAAAACAAATCAGAGAAGAGTAATAAGAAATAAAAACAGATCTTAAAAAAACCCCAGGCCACTTTCCCCCTACCCCTCTCTTCTTCCCGGGCTTAACATCAATCCCAATTTATCCACCTCCTCCCCCTGAGCAGCACAGGGGGACAGGGAATGGGGGCTCTGGTCCGTTCATCCAATGCTGTCTCCACCGCTCCTTCTTCCTCTGGGGAAGCCCAAAGTGTAGGACCCTGCACTTGGTCTTGTTGAATTTCATCCCGTTGGCCTCAGCCCATCGACCCAGCCTGTCCCAGTCCCTCTGCAGTGCTTTCCTCCCCTCCAGCAGATTGACACTCCCCCTCAACTTGGTGTCATCTGCAAACTTACGACCCCAGAAGGACCCCAGAACTACCACCCCTTAGGATCCCAGAATCTGAAATCAGTCACACAAACAAATATTTAACGGAAAATGTGGTAAATCCATTCACCTGCCCCCCTCAATGCTGAGCTACGCTTTCCCCTACTCCTTAATTAACTCACAAAAATGCCTAGTCTACTCAATTTGGGAGACCGTGAATAATGTGAAGTCAGTAGTTTTGTATTCCTGGAAGGCAGTGCCTCTCAGTCTTTTTGCGGATGTCCTGGGGTTGTTCCTGTTTTGTCAGTCATCTTTCTGCTTTCCCACCGTGTCAGCATTTTCCAAGTCTTTCTGCACACCACATTTACTGCCATCTGTCATGAACGAGTTTTTCATTTGGGATGGTAACGCAATTCCCAGGCTATTTAAAGTGTTTATCCCCTGCTATCACTGCCTCTTTTATAAAGTGTCATCTTTAGCAGCTTAAAGCTTTCTGTGGAAAAGTAACATTTTCTGAGTTTTATCCAGAAAAAGCCCATACTTTTTGGCATGTTATTTTATCTGATAATAGACCAAGATACAGAGGTAGTGGTTACACAGTCTGTATCATTTTGCTCTCCAGCAACTGATTGAGCCAATAGGAAAGACAAAATTGGCTAAAAGCGTTGAATTCATAGAAAGATTTTATTATTTTATACCTTTTCTTTCTTTCTTTTTTTTTTTTTCTGTATTCTGAGGACAGTTTTAGGAAGTGCTAACTCTACCAGGCCCACTTCTAAACCATGTCCCTGAGCACCATATCCAGACAGCTTTAAAATTCATCCAAGGATGGCGATTCCACCACTTCCCTGGGCAGCCTGTTTCAGCCTTTGATAACTCTTTCAGTGCAGAAGTTTTTCCTAAAGTCTAACCTAAACCTTCCCTTGTGTAACTTGATGTTGTTTCCTCCTGTGCTATTAGTTGTAACTTGTGAGGAGAGACCCACACCCACCTCTTTACAACCTCCTTCCAGGTAGCTGTAGAGAGTGACAAGGTCTCCCCTCAGCCTCCTTTTCTTCGGACTAAACAACCCCAAGTCCCTCAGCCGCTCCTCATAAGACTTGTTCTCAAGACCCAGCTTCGTTGCCCTATTCTGGATCTGCTCCAGCGCCTCAAAGTCTTATACTCTGGCACCCAAAACTGAACACAGGACTCAAGCTGCAGCCTCACCAGTGCCGAGTACAGCAGAACAACACCCTCTCTACTCTTGCTGGCCACACTATTCCTGATCCAGGCCAGGACGCTGTTGGATTTCTTGGCCACCTGGGCACACTGCTGGCTCACGTTCAGCCTCCTCTTGACCAACAGCCCCAGATTCTTTTCTGCCAGGCAGCTCTACAGCCACTCTTCCCCAAGCCTGTAGTGTTACATGGGGTTGTTGTGGCTCAGATGCAGGACCCAGCACTTGGTCTTGTTGAAGCTCATACAGCTGGTGTCAGCCCATCGATCCAGCCTGTCAAGGCCACATTGCAGAGCCTTCCTTCCTGCAAGCAGACCAACACTCCCATTGCCTGCCAACTTACTGAGGATGCTCTCAGTCTTCTCCTCCAGATACTAAATATAAAGATATTAAAAAAAAGAAGAAGATATTAAACAAGACTAGCCCCAAAATTGAGCCCTGGGGAACACCACTTGTGACTGGCCACCAATTGGATTTAACTCCATTCACCACCACTCTCTGGGCCCGGCCATCTAGCCTGTGCTTGATTCAGCAGAGTGTCTGCCCATCCACACCTTGGGCAGCCAGTTTTTTAATGAGAATTCTATGAGGAAAAGTATCAAAGGCTTTACTGGAGTCCAGGTAAACAACACTCACAGCCTTTCTGTCATCCACCAAGCAGAACTTTGTCATAGAAGGAGATCAGGTTTGTAAAGCAGGACATGCCTTTCATGAACCCGTGCTGACTGGGCCTGATCTCCTGGTTGTCCTGTGAATGGCGTGTAATGGCACTCAAGATAATTTGTTTCATGACCTTCCCCAGCACCTAGGTCAGACTGACAGGCTTACAGTTCCCCAGATCCTCCTTCCAGCCCTTCCTGTAGATGGCTGTCACATTTCCTAATCTCCAGTCCTTTGGGACCTCCCCGGTTAGCCAGGACATCCAGTAAATTATGAAGAGTGGCTTGGTGAGCACATCCGTCAACTCCTTCAGCACTCTTGGGTGTAACTCATCTGGCCCCATAGACTTGTGTACACCCAGGTGGTGCAGCATGGCTCTGAGCACTTCCTCTGGAATTACGGAGTTCTCAGTCTATCCCCCATACCTGTCTTCCAGTTCAAGGGGCTGGGTACCCAGCAAACAACTAGTCCTGCTATTAAAAACTGATACCACAGTAGAGATCAGGCACAGAGGTTTCCCTCACTGTACCTACTTCATCAGCTCTTGCTTTCAAAGGCAAAGGCTTCATCCCATGGTGATGGCCTGTTACAGTTACTGCCTTGTGTTTGGAGACACTAAGTTCCCTTGACTCACAGCAGTTGCCCCCACATTGCATACACGATGCCTGTTTACTCTTCAGCAAATACCAAACACTGCATGTTCAGCATTTCCCCCTTAATTATTTAAAATATGTGTTTGCCAGGTTATAGCAGGACTTAATCATTTATCAAAAAGGAGAGATCCTCTTACCAGTGTATCTCCTAGATACATCCTATGATCTGCCTAGACGTTATAGGCTATAATTGAGTTTCAACAACTCTATCCACTTATATCAGGCTTGAATTTGTTCTGTTACTCTCTTTTCTTTAAAAAAAAAAAACAACAAAAAAAAGAGGAGACAGTATTTACCACTAAATCTACACGAGGGTACTATGTGTTGACAGCCCAGTGTTCAAATAGCATTTGGAGGGCCATGTGGGTCGGGAAGGTGACAGGAGTGATTGTACACGTATGCAGTATTATACTGAGGCTGTTGCAAAAGAGGGATTTTATTTCTCAAGTGAAATGTTTGGGTCTCTTGGGCTGACGTCTTGTTTATGACAGAAAAGCAGCTATCAGTGAAGAAACTTGACAAGATTAGCAGCCGGGCATCTGCTGATGCACATTGTTAAGTATTTCATTCCAGTTCTGTAGAGAAAGGTCCCAGGGGATGGACGTAAACCTGAACACGTAGCAGTTAAAAGAACTAATTATCTGATTTTCTGTTATTTAATTGCAGGTGTCCCAGGCTCCATGCCCAATGCATCATGGGAAGGTGACCTGAAAGCGGTAAAGTGGATTGACATGGAAGAGAAGCATGGAGGTTGTCATGGTAGTGTGTCCACTTTTCTCAATTTCTTCTTTCTGTTCTTATGGTGAAAAACACTTGACTGCTGTTCCTGTTCTCCTACAGCCTCTAATCATAATGTGAGACAGTCTTTAGACAGCACTTCATCGGAGAGAAGACATTAAAAAGGAGTCATCTCCTTCATAGTCCACACATGAGTGACAGCAGCCATAAAAACAGTGAGAAAGGTGCACCAGTTGCTTGTTCTTCAGGAAGTCTGTGGAATACATCAGCCTTGGAAAGGATCTTTGGCAGTGTTCAGGGCTCACACGAGTTAGTCAACTATTTTCTTGAAGGCCTTGGGGGGAATTTTCTCGCAGGTGGATGGGGATAGCCCATGGGTACGTCCCACACTGGGCTGCAGATACGTTAAAGCCGGCAGCAGTGTGCGGGGCAGGTGCCCTCTGTGAACTTGGACGCATCCCAGCTCTCAGCGGGGCACTGGTGCCTGCCACAGCCGCAGCTGACGAGCAAGTGGCTGCGGGCTGATGATGATGGCTGAGCTTTGAGTTTTCCTATGTCACGTTACTTTACGGCATGACATTAGCAGTGCATAATCTTCTGTATGGCGCACTTAATCTTTCAGTCACTGGCTTGTACATTGTGTACTGCTACTACTTCTGACATAGTCAAGTGGGATGAGTGAAGCTAGCAATATAAATGTTATTTCAGGAATTCTTAATCCATAACATAATCTGTTTGTTTTGTGGAGAAAAATATCTGAGAACTTCAGTCGCCTTCAATTACAGCACTTTCACCTTGGCAAAACTACATTGAAATCGGTGAAATTACATCAGGATCACCCAGAATTAACTAGTGGAAAATCTGAGTAAAAGTATCGGTTTCTCTTCACTGACAGAAGGAGATTCCTCTTTGCTGTGTTTCAGTCTCGTCTTAAAAAGAGTCTCAAGTAATAACACTTCTAGTCTAGCTATCTCGCTAATTTGTGCATTATTTATTCTGAAGTGACTTTCTTCCTTTCATCCCATTGTTCATACTGATTCTTACTGCATGTCCAGTAGGCTTTTAAGCGTTTGCTGTGTAGGAGATTATAGTGGCTTTGCAGAAAAAAGTTCTGAAAAGGAATGATCTGGATCCTTGATTCTGACGTTGCTTTTTTTATTTTTCTTTTGGCAGGCCATTACGTCAGGGGCATTTGTGTCTATGGAACAGGTGACCTCAAGTGGCTTTTTAACTCCACCTCTATGTTTGCAAATAAGTTTGAGCTTAAAACATACCCCCCGACTGTGGAGTGCCTGGAGCTGAGACATCGGCAGAGAACCTTGTCCCAGAGTGAAGTTCAGGTGGAACCCAACTGGTATTTTTAGCTAACAAAACCCGAGGCTACAATATCAATAAAAACAGTCATGAGAACAGCAGCAACAACCTTAATTTCTCCTGTGCCAGAAGCATAAACTCATGAAACGGATTTCTTTAGGATGTTCTGTAGATGCAGCTCAGGCAGGCTTGACTCACACTGCGGGCAAACCTCACCTTCCACTTAACACCAGGAGGCCAAAGCACAAGAAATCCAAAAACAGACACCAGGGCAAAACAACTCCTTTTGCATCTGGAGGAGCTTTGCACTTTTGCCATTTTTAACGGGCCGTTTTCCAGCCCCAACTTTTGTCCTGCTACACTGTCATTGCTATCTTTTTCTATAAAATATAAACAGAATCATGAGCCCTGGCACTTCTAATGTCTGAAAGACAAATGTGCATGTTTCATAAACAAAAAGCTAATGAGTCATAGTGAGCAAGCGAGAACACAACCGCTGGCTGTTGCATAGAAATACTGTTTTGTCAAAGATACTGATATTTACCACAGAGAACTGACAGAAAAGTACCAGAAATGGAATAAAGATGCTGCACTTCCCAGATCTTATCCGTTCTTTAGATATCTGTCACAACAAGGTTTGTAAGAGAAAACAGCATCTTTTACGAGATCAGTGGGTGTGGTTAGAAAAATCAGGGAAGCTTTCAGGCACAGGAGCCCTTCTCCATGTCTGAAAAAATGAGGGTTTGTGTATTTGTATTACTTGGCCAACTAACAGAACTGGAAAAAATTTTAAAAAGCACTTTACAACTGGTAGTAGTGTCCTTAGATCGTCATGTGTAAGGACACAGATTAAAATGACCTCTAAGGTCCCTTCCAGCCTAGGCCATTCTATGATTCTATGGCACAGAGGGAGAGATGGAAAGCCTGGAAGGAAGTAGCAAGATAAATATTTTCAAGAGCAAAAGAGCAGTATCTGAGCTTTGGCAATAACTCGGTAATTCTGTGTCGTATTTTTGATATGGCATAAGCCTTGTCCCCAAGTTTACATCCTTTCATCTTCATATAACGGTTAACACGCATAACTGACCTCGGAGTTCACTGTTTTCACTCTCCCACTAACAGCCACTAGAGGGAGGGCATCAAACATCCCGGCAGATTTTCCCTCCCAGCTTTCCCTCACCCTGTAACCACCCAAAATCTCAACAGAGTAGGGATGTCCCAGAGGAAAAATCGGCACCTGGGAATATTTTGGTAAGGTAAACAGACCAAGTTACAGGTATCAGTCATCGCATCCTAAAAACCAAAGCCAAACTGTGAATGTTTCTTCCTGTAGCTATGATGGTTGTATATACACGGCGTGTTAGCAGCGCTGCCCAGCATGGGGATAGTTCTAAATCAGGATGCCTGAATCCAAGCAGGGTGTGTGCTGCTCTCCTGTCTCTTTTCTGAACAAGCCATGATGGCTCAAACAGCACCTCTTGAACAACAGCAATTTACCATCAACTTTATTACCCAATTACTAGTTTCCAGGTCTTTTAGCAAACTGGATTGCAAATTGCAGCAGTTAAAAAACGACAACACATCATATTTAGATGTCCTGAAGCAGGGCTGGTAACCCCCAGGGAAGGGTCTGAACAGGCAGGATCTGCCTCAATCAGCTTATTCTACACGTATAGCTGCCAACACCTAACAACACAGATCCCTGCAGAAAGGCACCAAGAATTTACCTCCGAAGCAAAGCTTTGGTGCAAATCCTGTCCAAGCTTTTTGGGAGGGGAGAAAAAGAGGGATTTGCTAACTTGATGCCACAGTGGCAGCTGAAGAAAGAGAGAGTAATTAATTTTAAGAGGGATTTTTAACGTGCTCGACTTAAGAAAGGTCCAGAATCAGCCTCTTCCCTCTTTGCTCTAACGAGCTGAAATGTCACTCTATATGTGAGGCAGGGAGAAGAGGACATTCTGAGGGGCCAGCATTGCATCTTCTCTCAGTGGTAGGGGAGAGACATTGCCATTACTTCACTCCTTGCTTGCTGTCATTTCAGCCTAGGACAAATCTTGGACTCATCATCAGGGTTTGCTTAACTGGTCTATTTATACAAGTCAGTAGTCGTGCAAGACACGGAGAACTCTGCTACATGGCTCTACAGCATCGCGAATGGGCTCGCAGCGGGACGGATGAGCTGACAGGGCGGGTGCTTGCAAAGTCTCAAATTAAGTGAAACTTTCTCCTACAAGGTTTTTAATGTATCACAAACTGGGCATCTGCACAAATGCTGCTTAGGGCTCTGGTCTAAAGGCCTAAATTAAATTCCCTGACAGCAGATCCACAAGCAGGATTTTTTGAAGAGGAGGGTGGGCAAATCTTAGGCCTAGCTCATGGCTCAATGTCTGGCAGCAGTGCTGCAAAAGCCAGCCTAAACCAGCAGCTTCCCAGCCCTCCTGATCCCATTCCTGCCAGATGTGTCCACATCCTAGCAGTGTCAATTTGTCTACCAAGAGGCAGAGCAATACTCGTGCCAGCCCAGAAGAAGGGATGGCAGAGATGATCCCAAGACTAGGAGCCAGGCAGCTGCTCAAGTTGAGTCTAGCGACAAAAAAAAAAAAGCAAAGAAAGAAAAACAAAAAAGGAAAAAGAAAAAAACCAGAGACTTACCAAGGAACAGGTCCGACCATAGTCTACAGCATGTGAGCTTCAGTTCTTCCGATTTTTTTTCCTTCCAAATACATGGAGGTCCAAGCACAGCTACCATCCGTAGTGCAGTAGGGGCAAAAAAAACAACAAAGCAGAGTCATGGACAAGTCATTTGTGTTGTTCTACAAGCAGCCCTTGAAACTTGGCTGTTTGGTAAACTTTTGGGTATATATTAATGAACAAACTCTGCCAGGGGTCAGAAGGCAATTTGCTTCTTGCAGGCCTTGTGGTATTTTGCTTTCTGTAAAATGCATAAAAGACCTTGTCGCTAGCACAAACCTCAGTGCTCAGTTCTCAGAGCATGGCTGGGAAGATCAGCTGGGAAACTTGCACCACGTTCAGAGGCCTTGTGTCACACAGAATGATGGAGCAGCTGAGGTTGGAAGGGACCTTTGGAGACCACAGAGTCCACTTCTATTTTCTCAAAGCACAGACGACTTGCTCTGGGCTGTCTTGGGCGTTGAGTATCTCCATGAATGGAGGCTTCACAGCTTGCCTGAGTATCTTTTCCAGTGTTTGGGCACCTTCATAATAAAAATTATTTTACTTATATTTAGATGAAATTTCCTGTATTTTAACTTTTGTCCATTGTCCTGTCACTGGGTACCAGTAAGAAAACCCTAGCTCCATCTGATTTCCTCTTCCCCATCAGATATTGTCCTCAGCAGAGGAGTGAAAAAATATGACAGGAATAACCCTGCAAACACCCAGGCCAGAGCAGAAGGAGGGGAGAAGTGCTTTGGGCATCACAGCAGAGATTCTCCTGCAATCCCTGGAGAAGACCATGGTGAGAAAGGCTGTCCCCCTACAGCCCAGGGAGGACCATGGTGGAAGAGATGCCTGTGGAGGACCTCATGCTGCAGCAGGTGGACATGCCCTGACAGAATCTATAGCCTGTGGAGAGAAGCCCACTCTGGAGCAGATTTGCTGGCAGGACTTTTGACCCCATGGAGGACCCATGCCAGAGCAGTCGGTCCATGAAGGACTGTACCCATGGGGCAGGATCCACTCTGGAGCAGTTTGTGAAAGATCTCCTGTGGGATGGACCCACAACAAAGCAGTGCAACCATGAAATGTTAGTATTCAAGAGCCTCAGGGCAACAAGGAGAGTGGTCAGCAAGCTCGACACCCTGGATTTCAAGAGAGCCGACTTTGACCTCTTCAGGCATCTGCTTAGTGGAGTGCCATGGGATGAAACCCTGAAGGGGAGAGGGGCTCAAGAAATCTGGTCCATGTTGAAGAATCACCTCCTCCATGCCCAGGAGCGATGCATTCCAAAAAAGAGGAAGGCAGGCAAGAATGTAACTATGAGGACAGGCCGAGAGACTGGGGCTTGTTCAGCCTGGAAAAGAGAAGGCTCCAGGGAGACCTTACAGTGGCCTTCCAGTACCTAAAGGGGGCCTGCAAGAAGGCTGGGGAGGGACTTTTTACAAGGGCCTGAAGTGATAGGACAAGGAGTAATGGGTGGAAGCTGTTAGAGTGTAGGTTTAGGCTAAATATGAGGAAGAAGTTCTTTACCCTGAGGGTGGCGAGGCACGGCCACAGGTTGCCCAGGGAGCTTGTGGATGCTCCATCCCTGGAAGTGCTCGAGGCCAGGCTGGATGGAGCCTTGAGCAGCCTGATCTAGTGGGAGGTGTCCCCGCCATGGTAGGGGGGTTGGAAATAAATGATCTTTGAGGTCCCTTCCAACTCAAATCATTCCACGACTCTTAAG